GGAGTAGGGGTCGGTCGGGGGGTGCGGTGAGGGGTGCTGGGGCGGGCGGGAGGGGAGAGCCGAGCGCTGGGGAAGCGCCGGCGGCGTGGGGGATGGGGCTGAGGCGAAGGGAGGAACAGGAGCGAGAGCTCGCTGGGCTGCAGGGAGGAGGGCGGCCTCCCCCACCCCACGCCCTCCCTCTCCTGCCTAGGCGTCACTAAAGTCCAGGAAAATTATGCTAATGAGGACAAACGGCTCTCACAAAGGGGCTCTCTTGCGGGGCTCTGTTTCTTAATAATTCGTCCGAGAAACCACGCAGCCCTCCACCCTAGGCATTTCCATTTGGGCGCCGAGGGGGACGCACTAGAAATGAGTTGCCCCGACTTGGGGCAGTTTGCTTTACCTGCTCCCAAGCCAAAGACCTCAAAGCTAGTCCCTGTGGTGCGGGCTAGGGCCTTTTTCCAGAAACCACCCCAAACTCAATTGTCTTTGGTTATATTTCTAGGTAGAAACTGTTCACATCCTGGCAGCACGCAAAGTGTCCCCGGGGAGATGTACAATTGTCCAGGCAGTGAATGCACCACTGTGGGCTCAGGCACACATAAAGGTGCCTGGAAATTCAGCCTTGCAGCTCTTGTGTGCCCATTGCACAGAATGGACATGCGGCTCGCCCACAGGGAAGATAGATAAGGCCCTGACACCAACACAAATGGACATCCATGATGTTTCACCCCCTAATTAGTTAAGTGGCCTTTCCTTTGCTGAGCTGAGCAAAGGCCCAAGTTTGCCTAGTAACGTGCCACAACTTTAAAGAGAATAGTATCGCTCCCAAAGCCCCCCTCAGCTTCCCAGCCTCAGAAGCAAACTCCACCTGGGTGTGTGGCCAAAAGAGAGAAATGGAGCTTTCGTGCAATCCCGAGGCGTCAACGACGGTCCTTCTCAAAGGAAGGTGTTAAAAATATAAGTAGTATGTTTAAACTGTCAGGGAGCCAAAGTGTCACCTTAGAGCAAAAACAAAGCCAGGGGAAAGGGGAGAAATCAAAAAGCACTCTGGGCCAGGGTGGCCTCATGCATACCAATGGTTTTTGTCATTTATGGCTGTGCAAGATTTATGACTCGGCGCCCCAAAGCTGTAAACAGAGCACAAAACAGCAAACACTTGCTCCTCACGGCATACTGCAGCGGCACAACTTGAAAGGGGCAGCCGGGACGCGTAGGAGGTGAGGGCCGGCCGCAAAAATCCTCTCCGTGGCATTTTCTCTTCAAACCCTCGGATCGGATGTAGCATTTGAAGAAAGACGCCGTGGTCAATAATCAACCCGCACTTTCTCCTCCAAACTGCTGACGCGACTCTCGCCGCCTTCTTAGCCAAGCCAGATGCAGGGAAGGCCGGCTCCCCAAGAGAACCTGCCCCGGGCGGGGACTGTCGGGCCTCAGGGGCTGAGGATGCAGGCGCCAGGGCCGGGCCGGGGCGTCGGCCACGCGTGTCTGCCCAGCGCCACGAGACCGCGACCGGCGACCCCACGGCGGGGACGGACGTGAGGTGTCGCGGGAGCCGAGGGAGAGCTTGGGTGCGAACTGCACGCAGCCAGGTGGCCTGGGACGCGGCCCCGGCAGCAAAGTGGAGCTCCGACTCCAGACTAAGATGGGGCGTCCTGGCACCTACCGTGGGTGCCCCGGCCTTAAGCCTCTTAATATACGTTTGAAATCCAAAGGGCTGGCTTTGGAGCAGGCGTAGGCGAGGTGATTAAAATTTATCATTTCTAATAGGAGAAGGTTTTTGTTGGTTTGTTATTGTTTTGTGAGAGAAAATACGAGGTTTGATTTCCACCTC